GGTTTTTACCCTCTGACTTCTGTCTCTCTCCAAATCAAATCAAAGTTCTGATATTGCTGTCAAGTTACAGCAAAATGCTGTAAAAAGTAAATACAGTCTTTGATTGAATTGATTGTGCAGTTTATCAGCCCTGTTTGATTTTAAAATCATTACAACATTTGGAAAGCAGGTTGATTCTGGGTGCCAGACTTGGAATTCTATACAAAGAAAAACTCATCCCCTTCTGTCTAGTTGCTTTTTCACCATTGTTTGTTTATAACATGATGATTTATTACAAATCAAAAGATTTGTTTACTTCAAGTCATGCCATGGTTGGCCTGTAAGTCCCAGTAGCTCATTTTACACAAGCTGTACGGTATTTTAACTCCACTATGGGTTTCACTTAGTCAAACTAAAGCTTTAGGACAATGATAGGCTTCATAGGTGTTAGATCAGGAGCGTTTATATCAATGCGGTCTGGAGGTTTGTAATCACAGTTCACATCAGTTAATTCAGACTTAGAAAAATAATAAGAAAAGTAAAGCTGCTATTGTGAGAGCACAAACAAGAAATTAATTAGTTGACCAATTGAAGCCTAACTATTCTTAAAATTTCCCTACTGGTTGGACTGAAATTCTGCCCACATGGAGTACAGTCCATTTTAGTTTCCAACCAACCATCACATCCCATATTTTGCTTTTTGCTCCTGGTTTGAATCCCCTGGACCGAGGAGCCTTTCTCTATGGAGTTAGCATGTTTATGAATGTATGCATGGTTTCTCTCTGAGTGCTTGTATGTAGTTTATTAACTTCTTTTGGATGAAACACCCACTTTGACATCACATACTCCTTTTATTTTAAAAAGTGGTGTAACTGTGGGCTAAAATGACAAAATTTGTCAGTGCTTTTAATCAAAGTGCCGAACTTTTTAGAATGAACTTACCTTTTATTCATCATTTTGAAACCTTTTTATCTTTTGGTTATATCACCTGATAATGGTCCAAGACCAATGTGAAAATGTATACTGCCACATAAAACTGGAATAGAATCTTTAAAATGGGCTCCGCTCTGGGAAAGTTGTTTTTTTAGATATAAGGGGATATTTTAGATGAAAAATAAATACCTTTGGTAACGAACCAGTTGGTGACATGTGTGTTCTCTCTCCTAAATAATTGGCCAGAAATGGATGAAAAAAAATGTCAGCACGTCCATATGATCATTTACAGGTTGATGCTTGACACCAAAGCAAGAGCCTTTTCAAAAACAGTGCCCTCGATCTCTGGGCCCTAAGCTAACCCTAACCCACCAAGAAAGCTAGCGGTACAAGATATTTGGAAGCAGATAACAGTCTTGTTTTAGTCTTTGGTGGAAATAAATAAATACCTGAGATCACACCATTGAATGCGATGAAAATATGAGGTGATTTAAAAGAGGATATGTCCTATGATGAGAAAAGATAATCAATCAATCTATCTATTTATCTATCTATCTATCTATCTATCTATCTATCTATCTATCTATCTATATATGCATCCATATAACATACATATAACATCCATATATATTTGTATGAGGCTCAGTAATGGATCAGCACGTTTCGGCGGGGTAAATGTGCATTTCTCCGTAGGTGTGCACCACCTTTTCTGGCGGATATTTAGCAGTCGTGGGCAGCTTTTACTGTCGGGTTTTCTGCATTCGGGGGTGACTCGCTGGTCCCTCCTCCACCGGTTTCTACTTTGGTGTGCAGTGATGTAGGCCAGCGCTGTCTATTTTCCAGCAGTCATTTTGTAGGTGTAGTTTTTGGAACGAGGCCATCTGCATGCATCATCATCATCATCAAGTCCTCCAGCGTAACATCAACCCTCTGTGGAACTGGACCTTAGTTTACCTCTGTTTGTCCATCCGACCAGATACTTCTGACCAAAACCGTTTGGTAACTAAGGCACCTGTGTGTCCTGCTAACGCTGGTGGGAGGCTTGCTTTGGTCTCATTAAAAATCTCAGGATAATCAAACATATTATAGTTGAGCAAGTTCCTTTTACAGGACAGAAATAATCTACCTTTCTCAGAATGTGTGTAGATCAAATTTGAATTTCTGTGACAAGTTATGGCCTAAATCATAAATTCCTACCATGAATCTGCATGTCTGTTCACACTGACCTGTTTATGGGACTTGGAATAATCCACTCAGTCAGTTAGTGCACTCAGTGAAAAATGGGAAAAATAGGAATTCAGAATATCTAAAGATGAGACAAAGATCAGGTTACATTATGTCCAATTTATTCCAATTTCTATATCAGAAGAGGATCTAATGCCACATAAGTAGATGTATGCTACGCACATAAAAATGATATTTTCCCAACATATCCTGAATTTTATTGTTTGGCAGGGGTTGTTGAGCTCTTTTGTAGTAGTATAGTTAGAAAACCAAACCGCCCTTTTCTGTGGATGGTACAAAACATGGACAATGATACAAATAGAAGAAAGATGAACAGAGATGAACTTTAGTTATCCTTATGTGGGACATTTTTGTCACAGTAGCAGGAAGATAACAATAGCAGGGGACCAAAAAAGAAATCTGACTTCTAGTCAGTTTCTGTTTAAAAAAAAAAAGGAAATAGATGAAGCAAAAACAAATTGAGATATTGAAAACACTGCTACTACTCCAGAAGTTGTTGAAGACCGCAATAGCTAATAGGATGAAGAATCTAATTACTATGTTATGAATCAGTTCCTGACTATTCAAGCTGAATTTGTATGGGTTTAAGTGTGTCTTCCTTGCTTTTATGTCAATATGAGGCACATTGTTTCCTACCTTGCTATATTATGAATGGCCTTTTTTTCATATGATAAGGCAGAAAATATGCCATGTGTTTCTGCACTTGGGGCTTTCTGTGATTGGCATTCCTCAGTACTAAATTTGCCAGTGACCCTATGCCAGTTGGGTATCATTCATTCGACAAACTGTACATGAAATTGTCACATAGCTCCATGTCTGTTATAAATGGAGTTGGCTGCTCTTCAGCCATAGCTTATATTTTAAAGTAAATGAATAAACAGATTTATAAATTCTTAGATCTAATTTCAGTGAGACATGCATTTGCTTAAATGTCTGTTAATTTATCCCAGTACGTATTGATACACTGAATATTGATTTACTGTTATACATGAAAACCTTTCTGAATTTTCCTTTCTGATCACAGCTGCATGATCCGTTATATTTTTAAATGTGTGCTGTGTAGAATTAGACGGTCTTGGGACAAATGTCAAAGATCGGTGAGACCTCACAACACGTTTGTGGCCCCGACTGTCACACGGGATAAAGTGATGAAGTCGTGGCATTTTACATCCGAAAGGTCAAAGGACTCCTCTGTGGCTGAGGAACAGAGGGGGGGGGTCTGACGTTCAGAAAAAGATAACAAGCTCCTCAAGTGCAATAAGAAAATGGTTTTAAAAGTTAATATGAAGGAAAAAACATTTGCTGAAAGGCCTGAAGAGCTGAACAGAAAGTAACGTCCTCCAAATTATGTGGGAGGCTGTTGTAGTGCGGGTTAAAAATAGATTTTTAACTAATGTATTTAAGTTTTATTCTAAATTAATTCAATGGCAGTGATTTGGACAACTATATTACATCATATTACACAAAAACAACAAGACCTCAAAACATTTTGTTGAACATTTTTTTGGCCTGAATTGATCACCATCAATTAGTTACTAAGTTTTCGTCATCTTTGTCCAGAAGGTTCTGCTTATGGTTGATTTTGGCTGAAGTTGCTCTAAAGATGTCTCCAAAGAGGAGTTTTCTATCTTAGAAAAGCGTCTGTATGTTCTCAGTAGTAATTAAAGTAGGCTACAAACTCTGCTAGGATGGTAATATATCACTTCTGCGGTCTTTGTTAGCCAAACTAACACTAAAGTGTTAACAAAATAGATATATTTGGTAGTTTTATATTCAGCAAGATCATTTTTTGAGTAAAAATCTACCAGAAATTGCGTCTCCTTGCTGGTTCTTTACCCAAAGTAGTAAAATGCTGGTTACTGAATGTGAATGTTCCTGTAATTATTTATTCTTCTTCTTTTGTGTTTGCGTTTTAGTGTTCTTTCTCTTTGGCTTTTTTTCGGAATATTTGACAGCTTGTACTTTCAGACACTGCAAGCATGCTGAATTTGAAAAATAAAAATAAAATACAGCTAGGTAGAGACTGATGGGTCCCTGGTTGCTGATCTCTGCAATTTGCCTTTGTGTAGTTTTTGTGACCACGTTAAATATTCACAGTCCCACATCGACTGCCTGGTGGTCGCACCTAAAAAATACAAATAAAATAAGAAGAGAATTTCCAGGTAATCGATACAGAAACTCAGACACAGTCATTCATTCGTGGAGAAACACTGTGTCTGAAATAAGACTTGCAATCAGTCGGAATTATTGTAGGATATTATTCTTCATTTTGTACTTGAAATGAATGGATTACTACAAGTTTTAAACTTTTTTTTCTTCGGCACTATTCAGTATGAACGTAAAACACTTTTTTTTTTGGACAGCAGGTTTGGATACATGTGTATTTGTGTGTATGTATATATATATATATATATATATATATGCCAGTCAGGGGGTTACTCTAAATTTTTTATGCCGTTAACCCTTTAAAGCCCGATCCAAGAATAAAACAAAACAGAAAATTACTTTTTTTTGTTTCAAGTCTATATTTGGCCTTTTAACAAAATATATTAAAAGAAAATACAAAAATACATTTTTAATATTAATAATTTATTACTATGGGATAAGTCAAGATTATTTTTTGTGTAGTCTTCTGCCTCCTGTTATCAGGTGTATCTGATTGTGTACAATAGGATTTTGAGCAAAGTTCTTTCCATTAAATTATGCAAAAGGTGTCAGACGCAAAACATTTCAGAAACCGTACGTATCAAATATGACACATTTGGCATTACAGGGTTAAGTAGTGAATGCATGCAAAATGGGAAGTGTCACGAATAAGAAATAACTTTGTTTTTCTTCTCCAGGGGAAGCTGGTGAAATACTTCAGCCGCCAGCTGTCCTGTAAGTGCAAAGTGGCCTTAGAGGAGCGCAGCACCGAGCTGGAGGACTTCCCTCGACTCGGACACTGGTTCCGCATCGTCAACCTGAGGAAGGAGGTCACACAGGTGAGAAAATTTAAACCACATTTCCACTAATCGCTGATTATGGTTTACAGCTGAAGAAACCCAAATATCCTATCTCAAAATATTAGAATATCGGATTTTTGAGTTTTCTTCAGCTGTACGCCATATAATCAGCTTTATTAAAACAATAAAAGGCTTGCGATATTTCAGTTGATTAGTAATGAATCCAGAATGTATGACATTTCATGTTTTTTAATTGCATTACAGAAAATAAAGAACTTTATCACAATATTCTAATTTTCTGAGACAGTCCTGTATATATAAGATAAGATAAGATAAGATAAGATAAGATAAGATAAGATAAGATAAGATAAGATAAGATAAGAGCTTTATTGATCTCACAGTGGAGAAATTCACTGGTCACACATCGGTTAGAGTTCAAAAGGAGGAAAAGGCGCATAAAGTACAAACAGCAAAAACAAACAAATATACAAGGAAGCAACGCAGCGCAGAGATTTGAGTGACTAAAATATATACAATCATTGATTGAGCCATGGTTCTGCTCCAGGTTTCTGCCTGTTAAAAGGAAGTTTTTCCTTGCCTGTGTCGCCTAGTGCTTGCTCATGGTGGGAATTGTTGGGTTTCTGTAATTAACTTCAGAGTAGGGTCTGACCTGCTCTGTTTGGAAAGCTGTGAGACAACTGTTGTTGTGATGTGGCGCTATATAAATAAAATTTAATTGAATTGAATTGAATTGATGGCTCACACACAGTACACATATTACACAGGTCAATAGATATAATACAGAGGTGAGAGGTGTTGTCCATGATAGACAACACCTCTATTAGCAATGGATGTCCGATTCCAACATCCACCTAATCACGTGACCCAAACCAGTGTTTTAAGTCAGGCTTTAAGATAATGTATCAAATGCGCAAAATAAAATATACTACAGAAATATGAAAGCATTAAACTCACCGTTGGGTTTGAGTTCGCCTCCATGGGTGATACTGGTACTTCTCCAATATGACGGTTGTGTCACGTGATTACGCTAATGTCTGTGACCTGAAGTAACTTTGGGCATTTTTACAGCGAATTTTTAGACGCTGAATTTGAGACAGCGAATTTGAGCAAGTTGAATTGGAGGACAACGAAAATATTGCATAGGAATTTTGAAAAGTTGATTTTTTTATATGCTGAATTTTTTAACTGAAAATTTAAACTGTGAAAAATATGTGTATTGAAAATTTGATCACTTTGAAATAGGAATGTGAATTTTTTTAATAACTGAAAATTGCAACCATGTAAAAAAAATTACACAGATTTTTTTTTTTAATGTACAAATAATGACATTGAATTTTTTTTAGGTTAAAAACATATTCTGAATTTATTTTAATACTGAAAAAGTAAGCACTAACATACAACATTCAAATTACAGAGGTATTTTTTATTCAAATTCTGATGGCACATATTTACTTCCATAGATCTCAGTTTGGACAACACTCTCCTCTCAGCCACTTGAATTAAGAGACATTTGATGAAAATCCAGTCTCTTTTTCCTTTTCACAATCATAAGCTAAGACCTCTGTAACGAACGCAGTTACATGGGCATTTTTTCTGTGTGAATTTATTTTATTTTATTTTGTGAATTTGAATATGTTTTACTTTTAATATCTATTTCATATCTTTGAGTATTTTTGATTAATATGTAAATACTTTTGGAAAAGATTGTAACAATGTTATATGGAGACGTCACCGATTGGGTTTTCACTGGATTACGTGATGCCTTTGATAGGAAGTTCTGAGTTTGTTTACAATTAGTCTGTGTGTGTAAGAGAAAAGGCAAAGGACGGAAAAAAATGGAAGAAATGGACCTCTAGCAACTCCTAACCTTCTGGTTGGAGGGGCATACGGTACGGACAATTTAGAGAAGTTATATTTTGTTTAATAAGTTTCATTTGATAATTCATGTAGGTTTTATTGATGTATATTTTCCACCGCGTATTTTTACAGCGTTCACGGTGGTCTTGGGCGTTTGCATGACGGCAAACCCTTTAATAAACGTTTGGAACCATCAGTTGGATGTCTGCACTTTCATAAACCAGTGAGAAAAAGTTGAGAGCAGCTATAACCTCTATGAGTTAATGCCGTGTGTCTGTTTTATGACGGTGTGATCGTCAGGAGATGAGCCCCGGAGAGGTGACTCTGGAGGGCCTGCTGGAGATGAGCGAGGAGCAGGTGTGTGAGCTCCTGCAGAAATTCGGCGCCAACGAAGAGGAATGTGCCCGACTCAACGCTTCCCTCTCCTGCCTGAGAAAGGCCCACCAGCTCGGTAAGAGCTCTAACCCTAACCCAAACCGCTCAGGGATGATTTATTATTATTTATTATATATCCATTAGACCAGTGTTTTTCAACCTTTTTTGAGCCAAGGTACAGTTTTTCATTGAAAAAATCCCGTGCCACACCACCAACCAAAAATGTTAAACAAATCTGTAGCCGCCTATAGTAACACTATAGTTATTCTTATTTTATTCTTATCTTATCTTAAGTGTCTTGAATAGGAATCAAATAAACACAAAAATGCATTTTTATCATATTTTATATTTCTTCTTTCAAATTGGACTCAACATGTCCACTTCAATATACAAAATTATATACAAAATCTAGTCATAAGGAATTATTACATGATTACGCCACCAGTCACTAGAACAGCACAGACACTCAGAAATGGCATATTATTTGCAGAAAATTAATTCCTTATCAAAAAATCTTTTTAGACCAATTAGGATGATTTTCTACGGCAAACCTGACCATCACTCACAGCACACTAGTGTACCGAGGCACAAGGGTTGAAAAACCATGCATTAGATTATCCACACCTTGATACCGATGCATTAGTCATAAAAAATGTCCCTGCAATGATTTAAATGACTTTTTTCTTTTTAAAAAAAGTTCCTAAATTGAAATATTCTGGTGGAAAAACACCTGTTTGATGATTTTTTAAGAAAATGTCAGATTTATTGAGCAGCCCACTGATGTAAATTAAGTTGCCAGCACTTCAGATTTAGCATTGAAAAGACAATGATATTAAATACAAATGCAGGAAAGTTGTCCATATAAAAAAAGCAATGAACAATTGCTATCTTGTGTGAGATAAGTAAGCTGAATAAGAAGGGAGAGCCCACAGGGGGGCAGGATGGGCCTTCTGTGTATATATCAGGCTAGTTTCAATGCTCAATCTTTCAAATGGTTGGTCATTTGTCATTTGAAAGGATTTGAGGCTAAATCAGTGCTTTGTTTTTCAATTTCAATGTCAATTTTGGGAAGAAGCCCCTTGTTATCACAGAATCTTTAAAATATTTAAACATCTTTAAAACATCTAGGGTAAATGTCACTGTGAAATCTGCATAGATGCTAGGCGTTCTAACAAAAACGATCCATGTTAACCACTGATTAGTAACTGTAAAATGATTGTTTACAGCCAAGGAAATTCTAGTATTGAACACTACTGTAGTAGTTTTATCTACATTATTACTTTTTTTTTTGTCTCACCGTTGACATACCAGTGAAACACTTGATGAGTTCTTTTTTTTGTCTAACAAAATGTGAAAAAGTAAATATATCTATAGAATTGACAGGCTTTTAGAAAAACAAGATATTATCAATACTCTCTACACATTTTTTCTATAAGCTAAAATGCAAAAATAGAATAATTCTTTATTACAGTTTTTTTAAACAATGTTTTGACTAAGTGACATGTAGTTGTGTATTAATTACAGTATATGTAAATGTTGCAAAGAAAGACACTTATTCAGTTCATTGAAATCTGCAAACTCAGGAGTCTCAACATAATTGTGTTCTATTTAAATGTTTTTGCCGCTACTGTAATTTTTCTAAAAACAAAATAATACAAAACAAAACAAACTAGCATAGCATAGGTCTTTGTGGGGTTTCTTTTTTTTTTTAAATGGCTTTTTTGAATAGGCCTTTAAGATACCACTGTGTTTCCAAATCTTAGCACTCATTCCTTATTGCACTAATATTGATTCCCATTTATCTCTCTTTTTTAACCATTTATATATTTTTTAATGCAATTGAATAGGTAAAAGTTCATGTTCTTAAAAGTTTAAAATCATTTTTAAGAAAAATAAGCGTACTCTTGTTTATTTGTTGTGTTACAAGATACTGACAGATTGTGAAAGACATAATCTTGTATGTGCAAGACATAATACAGGATGTATCATCAGATTGAGTTTAATGAGCATATCATGTTTCTGGAGAGCTTTGTTCTATATTATTTGTCCACTGTGGATCATTTGAGATCCAATATGTTTTGTGTGCAATTATAAATACAGACCAATGAAAAAAAAGCCATATATTTGAGTCAAAATGTCACATGCTGCTCTTAAAAAGTGCAAAAATAAATCAATGTGTAGATGTGTTGATTGTTATTTGATGCCATGAGAGTGGAAACTAATACATTTGATTCCCTCCTTTTTTAGTTACTTAGACACAACCTTTTTAACACCATTAACAAGCGTCTTTTGACATGCATGTATTTCCGTTGCTTCCCACCAGGTGGCTTTAAAAGACCACATTTATCCACTTCTGCTAAAGGTTGCAGTGTTAGAAGATGGGCAGAAGGGGGCAGTAGAGCACCACTAAAACAGCCATTTCCAGTTCGATAACTCCTCTCTTCTCCTCAGATGTAGATGCTCTGGAACAGATGTCCTTTCGGAGAGGGGGACTCTGCCGAATAATTACTTAATTTAACTTGATGAGTACTTTTTTCTTCGGCAAGCCCTCGACAAAACGAGCGCTTTATTTGAGGAGCTCTAACTTGGTCGTATATAGACGCTCTGACGAGCAGTTCAGCGTTAAAATCAGAGTATTTTTGAGGCTGCTGGCATCCTGAAAGGCTCTTTGTTTGACCGTGTACCCATTTGTGAGTTTGTTTGGTCTGGAGCCAGACTCAGGAGCACAGACTTACAGAATCCATCATTTCCTTTCAGCTGTGCCTCAGTCCGACTCTGTTTATAGGAGTTGGAGTTCACTTGTCTGTGGACACAGCTTTTACCAGCGTTCTCTTGGACTTAGGAGTGAAAAAAAAGATGTTGTACAAAGTGGAACTCATATATTTTTGAGACAAGCAAAGCAAAGCCGAACTTTATGTGAAAACAAGACTTCATGTTCTCCTCTAAAAACTGTCGGTTATGTCTAACAGGAGGCGGGCGACTGGGTATATAGATGATTTCTGATAGATAATAGCCTTGTGTTTTGCAAATAATGTCTCCATGAGTGCTTAGATAAACTCAAACACCTTGATTTCCAGCTATAAGAGGCGTGAGATTTTATTGAAAATCCCAATCAACATAATGTTGATACCAGTTCTAATAAGTGTAGATGGTCCAAACATAGTAATCATGCAACACTGAAAAGGCTATAGTTAAGCCAATGAAAGCACTTTAATCAAAAAGACTTTAATGTGCTCTATCGAATTGAATTGAATTGAATTGAATTGAATATACTTTATTGATCTCCAGGGAGAAATTGACTTCCAGTACAGCCCGTACCAATATTGTGCGTCATTAGAAAACCCTTGAAAAAGGAAATCGCTCTTCCCAGAACAAAACCAGACCCATGTCTAAGCACGGAAAGGAAAAACCTTAAGCTCAAAAGTGGGAGTTGTAAGTTGAGGCCTGCTCCTCTCCTGAGATGCACCATCTTTCTGGCGTGACCTTAATGTGTTGCGTGTGATATTGTACGTCTTGAGTCTTTGTGACTGAAACACTCTGGTGTTCCCTGACGATATCGGAGGGTTTTGTCTGGTCTCATCACGGGAAAAAGGGGCTGATGGGGGTTCTCTGCAGCTAAACCAGATACAGAGATATCGTCCATCCCACTTCGTTTGACTGGAACTTACTTGGATCGTTGATTGTTTTGTGGAGATTATGTTAAAAATTCCTCCTTCTCTTAGACTTAGACTTAGAGACTTAGACAGTACTTTATTGATCCCTTGAGAAGAATCCCTCAGGAAATTAAGGTTACCAGCATCTTACAGTGCAAAAAAGTATTATTTTTATTATTATTATTCCGATTTGTTACACTAATAGCTATGTTGCCACATTTTATAATCAACATTGATTCAAACGTGTTAAGTATATACAGTATGTACAGTGTGGGAAATAAGTATTTGACCCCTTGCTGATTTTGCAGGTTTGCCCACTTACAAAGAATGCGACGATCTATAACTTTAATCATATGTACATTCTAACAGTGAAAGACAGAATCCCAAAGAAAATTCCAGAAAATCACATCAGATGAATTTATAAAAATTGATAACCATCTGATGAGGAAAAATAAGCATTCTTTGTAAGTGGGCAAACCTGCAAAATCAGCAAGGGGTCAAATACTTATTTCCCCCACTGTATAAACGGATCCTTAACACCTTGATTACCGAGTCAAAAACTAATGTATTTATCATTTATCCAGTGGCTCGCCTAGGATTTTTTCATCCCAAATTCAACACTAGTATCCACACATGACAGTAGAAGTTTGAATGGAGTTGTGCGTCCTCTTTGTGTTTGTCATGCATATTGTTTTAATCACCTCCCCTTTCCTTTCCTCTTCATTTGCGGCTTCAATCTTCCTCTTCTCCCTCCCCCTTTTTTTCCATTTTTCTGGCTCTCCAGAGACAAGGTCTGGCCAAACAGAGCCAGTAATGGGCTCTTTTTAACAGGGTGCTCTGTGGAGACGCCTGAATGCACCACGACAACGCCACCATCACCACCAAACAGAAAAGTGAGAGGCACTTTCAGCCCAGAGAGAAAATTCAAGGCTTACAGCCAACGTCCTTCGTATTCTTACTGTGATGGAGAGGGAGATGTGTCACGGCTTCTAAACACATTTAACACATTTGCACATCTGCGGATGTGTGTGCGTTTGTGTGTGTGTGTGTGTGTGTGTGTGTGTGTGTGTGTATTTGTGTATTTGTGTGCATCCCACGGAGGTAGTCTCCGTCCGCGTGTTTTTCATGAATGTAGGACGGATGAATGTTTTTTAAGAGTTAAACACCCCCGCGTGAGAATTTGGCTCATCCCAATTCTCAGGCAAGCTGTGGAAGGATGCTTTACAAGAATTATATTTTTTTAGGATGATATCACATAGATGGATTCCGCCTTAATGAACGGAATCAAGGGGTAGGAAATACAGATTTACGTGTTTTTTTTTTTTGTTAAAGAAAACATGTTAATTCTCATTTATGAGTCATCGGGAATTATGCTCAAATTGGCAGACACTGGGAGTCGTAGACTTGGCAGTTTATGTGCCACATACGTCTTTTAGAGAAAAGAGGAAGCGTCGGGCTGATGTATGTTGTGCTCTGCCGAGTAATGATGGAGGAAGGAAACTAATACAAGTTAATAGAATTTTTTTTATTTCACCACGGGCTCTCTGGGATTTCAGATCACAAGTTGCTGTTAGGATGAGTCATATACAGCTTGGAGGCAGCTGGCCGGCCCTTTTATGGGGGCATTATGCGCCAATAATCAGGCCTTTCCCTCCTTCTACACTTCCCATATCGTTAATATTAGTCCCTCTGCCAGTCAGGTAATAGACTGGATCTTTTGCTTTGTGCAACAGGTCTTTGCTCTGTCATCTTTTGACAACCGACAGGAATGTCACCGCGACGGCTTTGCATGCGTACAAACACTTAATTGGCTTCAAAATGCCATCAGCAAGAAAGAGAGATCAACACTGGCAGAGTCAGAGAATATTAAAGGAAGGGAATCGGAGGGGGGAAGGAGGCGTACGAGTGTGTGTGTGTGTGTATGTGTGTGTGTGTGTGTGTGTGTGTGAGCTCGAGGGAGGAGGGGGGAGACGAGGAATAATGAGAGAAAATTAATGGAGGAATCAACAGGAGATGATAAAAAAAAATTAAAAAAAAGACTCTGATGTTGAGAAGGAAAGTTCAGATGCAAACGGGGAAAGAAAAACAACCAAAAGAAGTATTGGCTTCACCCCCAATATTACTCTTCCTGAAACCCCCCCCCCACCCCCCGGGTGGTCCTTATTGACTGTTAACTAATTAGCAGAATCTAACTTTGAGTCCCCACAGTGTGTTCCACAAACCGTGGGCTGGAAGGAGTCGGGATTAAAGAGGGACACTGCGTTTATCGAACACAGCCGTTGCCCTTTTCCACTAAATCCTGTTTACAATAGACCTTAAGACAGACCGGCCTCAGTGGCATTTCACTGCCATTTAGCCAAAAGAAGCAACTTATCCAGAGGTAATTAGCCCAATTATGAGGCCGTTATCGGCCTTTCTCAAAGCGTCATCGCGCGTTACGTTGGCCCCGGTAATGGCGCCGGGATGAGCTTTTTTGCATTAATCACAGTTGTAAAAGCTGGAAGTGGACCAGGTGCCCTAACTCTTGATGAGCAGAATCGGGGTTATTCAGCAGAACAGAAGATTGATTACGAGGTTAAACATAAACAGCGTCAGCATTTTCGGCTAAAAGGGGAAGAGATTAATAGTTTCCTTAAAGCGTGGGTCTGACATCCCAAACATTTTTGCACTTTAGAGCCCCCTTTATCCAGACAGGTAAGTTGTTTTATTCAGTGCCAGAAGTCCTACAATGGTTCAAAAAGGTAGAGACTTGAAGCTTTTGAGCTGCTATAATTCAGTGCTGATGGGCTGAAAATAAACTGGATACAAAGGAAACAAAGCACCAAGAATGACCAATAGCAAAGTTGAAGTTATAGTTATTTTCCACATTTAATAATATAATAATAATACATTAAATTTTTTTTTAAAAGTGCCTTTCATGCCACTCAAGGACACTTTACAATGACGATCGTCATTAAGACAACATTGAAACATAAGAAAACATACAAAATCATAAATACATCGTAAATAAAAACATCATAAATGAATAAAAATGAAATGAATAAAACTATGCAAAATGAGGGGAATGTTAGAGTTAGGGGTGGTAAGGTGGGTGAGAAATTTGCTTTCACTTAATCACAAATGAGATGTTTAGAAAACCCTAATGTATGTGTTTTTTGCATTTTATATATATATATATTGAAACAACAAATGTTTTTTTACTGAAGATTACTGAGAACACCTTTACAGCCTTCTCATTCCAAGACCTTGTTATTATAGGACGTTTTAAGACAGATTATAGGGCATTTTTAAAGGTATTCTCACTTGAAGATCAAAGCAACTTTGAAAATGGTCTCGTTCTCTCACGGTCCGTCTAACCACCACATGTCAGACACACAAATCAGTTTGGATTACGGTCCTCATCTCAAACGGCTGTTTTTGCTCAGGTGAGACCGTCTGACAGCAGAGATCCACCAGTCGGGCCCGGTTACCGTTTCCCAGAGGCAGTTGCTAAGATACTAACGCGCTCGGCGATTCGACTCATTATTCGAAGGGGGAGAGTTTTGTGAGTGAGATGGAAGTTCGTCGCTGAGAATCCTCACCTGGGTATCAACTTGACAAACGCTGTCAGATAGGTGTACTTGTAAGGAGAGGCTGCTTCATGCAAGAGTGTAATTATCAAAGGGAAGCCGATTGGTCAGATTTTCCAGAAAACCACCAAATTGTGAAAGGCACGGCGTTAATTGGCATCTTGTGTGCGAGGTTTTAGACACCTTTTCCTAGCCCAACAGCAATCACCCTCCTGTTGCCTCCCCTTTCTGAAGCCGTTCTCCGCGTGTGAACTCTTTATCAGAGTCGATTAATGTTCAAACGACATGGAGCTGAACTTTTTACACGTCTGAATGGCCTGTGGCCGTTAGATATCTCCTAATAAAAGAGGCCTGATTGAGCTCAGCCCCTCATCTTTTCTCCCGCGTTTGTGGAGGGGCACTCTACCGGGCCCACTCATCTTTCCCGCATCATGATATCTTTCTGAAGGGTTTTGCAGAGGTGAGCGATGGGTTCAAACCCGAGTGTGAACGTGGTCCTCAGGCTGTCGCACCGAGGGCAGAAACAGCTCGAGTCAAGAGATCCTGACTAATTTTCTGAGGTGCGAATTACATAGCTAATAGGGTGTGCTATCTTTAGACGGATAGGTTATTTCATTTGTTTTTTATGCCGTCGGGGTGATGAGTCACAAATGAAAATTGATGCAATTTATATATGACTGCTGGTCTAAAAAGGTGCGGTCTTAAGTGTTACATTTCATGCAAATGACTCATAGCAACATGTTGAGGACAGAACCACTAAGAACTAAGAACTAACTCATACTAAGTTAATCGTGTTACTTTTTCTTAAGTGGAATTATGCAAAAATAATGTTATTATATAAAAACAAAATGATCTCGAACTGAATTATATTGTGTTTAAGTGAACTTGAACAGAGGATGTCTGTGAAATCTGAATCGAAACGACTTTTGTTATAAATTGACAAAATTAGCCGCATTGAATTGAAACAGATTAATTTCAAGTAAGTTTATTCAAATTGAACTCTACTGAATAAATTGACCCTACTGATCTCAACGGATCGGAATTGAATTAGGTTGTGTTTAATCAAATTGAAGAATAAGATGCATAGATTTGGCTCTATATCTCCAGGGGAATATAAGTCTGGCCTAGACTTTAAATATTCCTGAGACTCATGGAGAAAAAATGGCTTGAAAGAAATCGTACTGATAACTAGTCATTAGCTAGTCAGCTGGTCTGCGCATTTGCCACCATTTCCATCCAAAAAAGCTACATATTTAATCGTATTTCATTAGGATAACTGAAAGTATTTACAATGAAAGGAAAACAGGAACTGACAAAAAAGTGTCGGTTCCTGTTTTTTCAGCATTCAGCATTATATAATAGGAGGGGCTTTTTTTTTACCTCTGGTTTTGCTACTCTTATGGGACCCTGTTTAATAGTAGATATTTCCTTTGGTTCATTTGAACTGGTGGTTATTGCTATGTTGATATTTTGTTTGAAGTTTGGGTATTCAATGCTTGCCATTCCTAAGAGAGAGTGGAGAGAGAAATAATGACATGAGCCACGAAAAGAACAAATTTGTGTGGTATTGATAGGTATTTGCTTTCACAGTGGATAGAAGGTCAGTAGCAATTTCGCAAAGGTTTGTTCTGTACTTTTCAGTGATGCATGAAATTCTACATCGGTTTTCCTTTTACCAAAATAATATATATTTTTCAGAGCTTTTATACATATGTGCAGGTGGAATGACAAATTGTTGCTGACTATTTCAGCTGCTTCAATTTCCAGATCAATGAAAACATTCATTTTTTTTTTTCTTTCCGAAGAACAACTTGAGGAGGATAAATTGCACAGTAATGGAGGTAACGTATTGTCATCTGAGTTTAAAAAAACACTCATTTTGGCTGCTCACTTTCTGGTCTCTGTACCTCTGTTGCTGTTTTTTTTTCCCCATTCAGCTTAAAAGCGAAGTTCAGATGAAAGCTGACTTGTGCTATGACTCATCCAGCTTTGCCCCGTTATGTTTTTATGCGCCTTCATGTTTTTTGCCATTCTATTGCTTCATTCACAGACGCTTTAACGGCTCCACATCAACATATTCTAACAACATTGCTCTACTAATATGTCCGCATCAGACACCTGAAAAAGTGAATTGTTCATTACCCAAACTGAGCTCTTCCACTTGTAAATGCTTGCTTGCTTTCCATGTTCCTTTTACTCCGCAATCAAGAGGTACCCCGTAATGGATGTTTTAGTGTTAAATGAACAACAACAACCAATTTAGATAACTTGATAAACCACAGCGTGAACAAACATTCACTCAGATTAGACAAATGAAGAAAGAAAACTGTTTCATTCACAAGTGGGATCTTGACTTGCATGCTTTTAGTTTTGGATGTCTCTTGAAGTGCCCTGTGCACTTAAAAACCTTTCAATCAAATAGTTTTTTTTTGCCATAAAAGCATAGTTTAAGCAGTTTTAACAGTCCACATTAGGAAATCTTGTTGAGTACCCATGCCACTGTTTCTAGAAAAAGCTACAAGCAAAAATAGCTTTCCTTTCCAGTCATTCCCATGGAGTTGGCTAAGGAAAACGAGTCCTGAAAGCTGGGCAAATTAAACCAAAAGTGTTTGGCTGGATCATGCAACTATGGCAAATAATTAACTGGTTTATCAGCTATTTAAAAGTTTGTTTTTTAATGCAAATGACAGCATCAGGTTCAGTTACTGCTCTCAGATTTCCCCAATTCTCAGGCTATTCACATAGTGTTGTTATGGTCTTCCATGTACCTTCACACTGCAGCTTGCAAACAATTCCAGCTACTTAGCCTCTGTGAACTTATCATAGCAGCACATAATCCAGGATTTCGTTGAAGGGCACCCTCCTCATACAAGAACTAGGGCCACTGTTGCCATATTCAAACTCAGATTGAGACTTAGAGTCCTTTCCTAAAGGAAAATGATTCGGACTGCTGCCATCAAGTAGTTCACTTGAGCTATAGATGCTGGACTGGACTAATATTTTTGTCCCTGTTAGGGTTAGGGCTAGGCTAATAATATATCAACTCAGGAATTTCCCAGCTTTTTATGAAAGGTGCTAATATTCTCGTTTTCATCTTGCTGGTTTGGTACTTTTTTCTTGTTGATATTATATGTCACAAAGACCAAAAGGGTGTAAAAATAAAATTAAATAAAAACAAGGAGCAGATGAGCACCTGGCCAGGTGTGGTCCCTTTGATAGAGACACAGGCAGGAGTATTTCAACTCCTGAGTCCATTGATTTAGATGTGTAAGTCCGTCTTTGATCAAATCATTTTCCCAAAACTTAAACTGAAATAAAAAAACAGGAATTTAATTTCATTCTGACTTGTCTGTAGGGAAGACATCGAGCTCAGATTGCCTCCACCATCTATATCTTCCTTTTATCGTGCTTTTTTTCCAACAGGGAGCCAGTCGAAACAGGACTGGTCGATCCAGTGGCCCACCTCGGAGTCTGGCAAAGAAAACACCCCGGTGTGCCAGCCGGAGGCCAGCCAGTGGATCCGGTTCCAGCTCTCCCAAAGCCCCAAAGTCCAGTCCAAGTACAACCAGCACTTGTGTCAGAGTCCCCAGGCCCTGGGCCCCGTTCTGTACCCGGATCGGCTCACCGTGGACAGCCCCGTAACGGGGCTCTTCCCCTCCTTTGAATGCGGCCACCGCTCCCTGCCCCCGTCGCCACGGCAACGGCACATCGGCCACACGCCTCCCCGGACTCCCCTGGTGGTCAACACCATGACCCCGCCCGGCACGCCGCCCATGCGCCGCAGGAACAAGGTGAAGGCCCCGGGAACTCCTCCCCCCCCGAGCCGGAAACTGATCCACCTGCTGCCCGGGTTCTCCGCGCTGCACCGCAGCAAATCCCACGAGTTCCAGCTGGGGAACCGCCTGGAGGACACGCAAACGCCAAAGTAAGTGTCCTACTCTGTCTCTAACCAAAG